TAAAGTGCCGTTTGCGCCAGAAAATTCATATCTTTCCGTGATTCCGGGTCAACTATACTATAAATACCAGTGGACGTAGTCGGAGTCTCTTAACACACAGTTCTGAATTATGAGCCTTCTAGGTTTTTACATGTTAAAATTCGTATACCAAGACTTTAGTGGTACTAAATATTAAGGTTTTGGGTGGAGGATGTTTCGTTAAATATTCGTTTATTTAAATCACAACACGTTTTGATTGAGATTTTTTACAACCAATACTGAATAGCAAAACAGTAGAATGCTTTGTTTTTAGGCCGACGGCAAAATATTTTTACATATTTTTTTAATTTAACTTTAATCTAAGATAAGATGTAATTTGTGTTTTACGAAATAATTACAATGTAGATCTAAATTAAAATTCAACGGTCTAAATGTAAGGACACATAAGTTGTATCTTATTTATTTGTTTGTTGATAAAAATGTTCTACTAAAAGACAAACAGAATGACCTATCTCACAGTCCTACATTAAGATAGAATTCTAAACAAAATAATGCAGTGGCCGAATTAAATTTTATTCTCTAAAAATTGAAATTAAGTCATTCAATATTATAAAGGTATGTGTTTTAAGATTAATGGGTAAATGTAAATTAACCTTGTTACAGGTTGATATTTATGAATCAAATATTACACAGAGTTGGTAAACATAATAAATATATGGATTTGAAGAATATGGTGGTTTCGCCTATTCTTTGTTTACTACTAATAGAACAATGAAACGGAATTTCGAGATGCATAGCAGGCCTTTTGCAAATATGCTATTTTATCTTGCTCAAAATTCGAGGTTATTCCTATCACCTTTTTTTTTTTTTCCGAATTTATTTTTTTAATTTCAACAAATAATACCATTTCCAGGGCAGCAATCGGCTAAATGCTAAATGCAATTTATATTGTTGGCACAACCACTACACCAAAAATACCAAAGAATAGGCAACAAAAAAGACTTGAAAATCATCCAAAAACATATCTATTTTCTAATTTTATATAACTAATTATTAAGTACAAATAATATTCTCAACAGTGAAATATAATTTAAAAATTACATTTTCAACAACAAAAAAAGATCCATTAGATATTATATACTAATCAATATACTGTGTTGCGATCGGAAGGTCAATAGAAAAGGGATAAATTTATTCACAATAAACTATTGTTATTAATTTAACATTCTCTTGGATTAGATCTTAATTCATGATTTAATATAACATTCCGAATCTATAATTACTGAATGTATAGTCACCCGAGATGCTTTATTTTAGCACTTAATAAATAAGACTTTTAAATGAAGATGTGAAGTGATTGTTAATATTTGCGGTCACATTTTATAGTCCTCTCTGTTTTTTCCGTTAAATAAAAACAAATAAAACAATTTTTGTGAAGATAGTTTAATTATTTACATATAAATACACATTTTTTAACAGTCATAAGGTTTACATAGATACGAAATTTTAAAACGAACAATTGTTACAGTTATATACTTGTGGAGATAATCAAACATGACTCTACTGGCAGCGGGTTTTGGTTCTCAAATAGACTATTTTCATCATTTTATTAAGGACAGTTTAAACAAGTTAAAATAACTTAACATCTCTTACTTCATTTCAAACCTCAATTTACTGTAATATAAAGAGGAAGCAAATATTGCAAACAAAATATTTATATACAAGCAAAATTAATTAAATTTCATGTTAATTTTTACCCTTTTTTTATAATAAATATTTTAAAACGTTTGATTGTTTTATGATTGTTCATGCACGGCATGTAGTTTGTCTCTTTCTTACCATTATCATGTCTTTGTATGAGTGCAGTCTCACCGGGCTCTATCATCTTGACTGACTCACACATTTTTCATCTATATATCTCAAATTTGACCATGAACAGATTGACAATTCCATTAAAGACATTTAATATATTAAACGATATGGAAGTCACAAACTTTGATCAGTAGATACTTATATATTTTTATTGTTGGAAAAAGGCAAGTTGTGAAAATGTTAAGCTGAATTTAGTTACCAGGAGGCTAGTTATTACCTTTGGATGTTGTGAATGTAGAAAAAGATACCACCACATTCAGCGCCTGCTCTATTTAGTGAGGCTGTACTGCTTGTGAATTGCAAATGTAAAGCCGCCTTTTCGATAGTCTAGCCGTTTATCAAAAACTCCGCCATTTTTTATGAAAATCGGCTTCCCGCGAATTTTCTCATACTCGCAAAGCTATATAAAGTGGCCAACTGATAATACAAATGTGTTTTTATCTAAGATAAATAATATCTTTTTACACATTGCAAAGACAAAAAACCATGCTGAGGATCTCTAATGTAGGAATAGATAAATTCTGTTCTCTCTTCGTATTTATCAATATTAGATACAAATATTTTACTTATAAAAAATTAATCATGAATCTATGTTTTTATTATTGCACACGCGTCAAGATTTAATATTTATATTTAGCAAACTAATTTCTCATATTGACATTTCATGCAATGATAATATATTATTGGTTCCATTATTCGTTTCCTCCCGATTATTTCTTACCAAAGACGTATTTCAATATGTCAAACCTTTATGAAATCCAAACTGACATGTCATACTGCCTTCTTCATTTAGATACACCGGAAGTTCGTCCACTTTGCATATCCAGTTTGAGCCCCTGAGATATAAACATAAGTGCTTGAAGCGTTAGCATGTCATTTTTGTTTCTGTTTTAATATTTGACTAATTTGTATTTGCTTGGTTCTTTAACCGTCGTATTTCAGTTGCCCATATCTGTAACCCACAGGAGACTTCTAGTTATTTTATTTTTTGAAGATAGTACATGGATATAACCGTAGCACCTTTTCAAAGGCGGCCCTTGTTCTGTAAAATGCCAGGTGTAACTCATCGATGCATACGAATTTGGTTTTTAACAATTTCCTCACATAAATACAAATGTACGTGCATAATGTATCTGTTAATTACATGATCCTTTCAGGAATTCAAACTAGTTAAACAGTTTAAATGTATTGTCACAATATATATGCTTTCATTCTTTTGACAACAATCCTCATTGTATACAACAGAAGATCTATTTAAAAATAGATGAAGAAAAATATATATTACTATTTGAACAGTAAATTGTTACTTACCCACCAGATGGGCATGCTGGACACATGAAATTTGTTAGCTCTATCCACTTCACCATTTTTATTACCAATAATTCAATATAACTTATTCAACATTTATCAGACAGACGCAGTTTCATAAAATTGAATATAGAATCACGCTGGACAACCGTCCTTATTGTAACAGTCTTACGTCCGCTGAAATTAAAACACTATACCTTACATTACATTACTTTACCTAACAACCGGTTAAATTGAATTCTTATATAAATAACGGTGCACTATTGGTGGGACGAAGATCTTTGTTTGTTTATTTATAATATTACTTTTTCGGCTTACTTGATTTACGTTCTTCATAAAATTTCATTAAACAGAGGGTAGACTGGGAATTTCTTCAAAAAAATAGACCCAATCATTCAAGGTTAAGAGAAAAAATCTGCTCTTTACAATACATTGAAATTTTCCAACAATTATTTAAAAGGGAATCATATTAGCCCTTGAATGTTTGGTTTATTTATAATTGAGCAGAGCATTACATGATGTAAGAAATAAAATATTAAAGCTTTAGACAGAGAAAGTTAAACCTCAATGACCCAAACCCCCACCAAAGGTAAAAACAATTTGCCTAATACAAATTATATAAGATTCTGGTAGGTCAAGGTCACTTCGTGTTCAAGATCATATTCAAATTTGAAAACTCAACTTAGAGATTTTGTACTAAATGTTGTTTTGTCCAGTTCTGAACCAATGCAATATATAAATAAAATATAAATATAAATAAAAAAATTATAACAAATCCGATACACTTTGAAACATGACCTTGATAGAAAAGTCAATTAATGGTAATACTCATAATAATGCAGTGTGATACATTATGTTACATGTTATTGTGTTTAATTGTTTACAAAATGCTGCTGCAATCATTAATAGAGTTCTACAGACGTTAAACACATTTTATAATTGACCTTGTCAGCCAAAGTCATTTTAATTTCGATATCATACTTTAATTTACACAACATTACAATATTAATAAATTAATGGTTAGTAGTATCAAAATTCAATCATTCAACCTTCAAGGTCAATGTCATTTTAGGGTCATTGTCATATGTTGAATTTCTCCACATAAACATTATGTCATTTGCGCTGTTTTATCAAGGCATGTGTCAAATAAACTCATAAACAATAAAGTTAGGGGCAATATCAGCAACATTAAAAAAGTCCCAAAAATTGTTAGTCGGGTCAGCTCAAAGTGGCAACCAAGATTTACTTATTTTCAATATATTTTTTTAATTCTATTGAAAAAATATACAAAATTTTAATTCCTGATTTGTACCAATAAGTGGCCATCACTCTTCAAATAATGACAAGTCGATTTAATAGAAATAGCCGTGATATACTTTTAATACAAAATTCTTTTGGGTTCAATCTTATTAGAAATTGCTGTCATAAAGAAAAGGTCTATCTAAAAGTGTTTGGTGTCATAACACTGCAAACCATAATGGTATCGGGACAGGTAAAAAAAGGAAAAATGTTAAATTGGGACACGAAACCGTGATGACGGACGTCCGAACGACAGTCAGCAAGTGATGAACAAATAATCTTACGCGGAAGCTCCAAATTAATTGCTTTATTTGTTTTTGTTTAAATTTCAAAAACCATGTTTTTCAAGTAAGTAAGAAAGTAAGTAAGTATATATGCTCTTTTATTGTTCATTTTAAACATTTAAATTTTAACTTCAATTTTTGTCAAAGTTTAAACATCAAAACTCAAATGCATATCAAGTAATTAGTATTTCGTTGAGCGATCTTCTAAATTTGGTAAAATCCGTCTTCTGATGTATGCTGAATTTGTAATTTGCGTCGACGCCGTGTTAAAGTATGAAAAGTAGTACCTTTCAACGCAACGATACACGTACGTTGGTAAGGTGGGCGGGTTATACAGCCTTCTAAACAGAAAGAAATGTTGGTGTGATAAGTAATTGTGATCCTATTTTCCTGATTTTTGGAGGCATAACGGTAAGACTTTTTCATATTTTATTAAATTGAACAAAGTTAAGATTGTTTTAATATAAAAAGGTTAAGCATATCATTTTAATATGTTAAAAGTATATGTATTTTCAGCATAGTGTACATGTGTATTTATACAAAATTTATGTTTGTTTAAATAAGTTTTGAAAATTCAAAGATCGGTTTTAAAATAGTAGTTTTTTACCAGTAGTAGTAGTTTTTTAGAGTGCCGTCAAAATAAACAAATAACGCCGTGTTGTATAACTGTCAGTAATGCCAATTATTTTAGTGTTGAGGAGTTATTTTCGCTGAAAGTGACTCTATGTGGCGTGTGATATGCCACATACATTGTATTTAATATTTATAAAGAAGTAAAATAACTGTCTGCGATTTTCAATAATCATATTTCCAGGTCCTAAGAACACTTTTTCTTTTAGCACATCTAAGCACAAAGTGCTCAAGGGTAGCTTTTGTCATAATTATTTGTCGGGCACCAATCGTCCGTCAGTGCCTCATTGCGTCCGTCCTCATTTTCATTCAAACTACTTCTATGCATGAAGCTTTGTCTACTGGACCTCTACCACCCCACTTATTCTAATTCTAACAGGGGAAAACACGCTTATATCATACATAGCTTTGAAATAGGTAATTATTTTAGACGAGTTTTATCTTACTTATACATGTATCAAAATGATATGAACTCATTTCATAGAAAAAAAATCTGTTTGACATTTCGTATTTCCTTATGTTCGTTTTTCATGTTTAACAATTAGTTTTCGATATGCCGCTATGCCAACATATCTTATCGTTCATCACATCTAAATTTTAAGAAATTCATGCTTTTGATTTTAAATAAAACGTGTATACGATATAGTAACACAATTACTAATACTAGACCAGGTGTCAATATTAGTTTACCAGCATGCCTGTATAATTATTCTTCTGCTGTACTGGTTTCGTAGCAGTTTCCGGCCACAAATCACACTTTTAAACAAATGAAATCAAAATCAGTCTATGGAGGGGTACAAAACTTTGACAGGACAAAGTTAGGTACCTGTCCAGCATTGCCATGTGTTTGATGTTGCACTTTCATTTTATTTTTTAATTTGAATGTAGGCATGAAACGTAACACCTTTTTGAACCTTTATTCAAAAATTCATAGCAGTTTTCGGACCTTTTTTATTTTTAATACTCATGCTTCTCTATATCAAAAGGACGTGAATACAAGACAAACAATCAAATATGAGTCGGTATAAAGATGAAGATCCCGATTGTAAACCATACAGTAGACATAGTCAAAGACATCCTTTGCCCCATGAATATGATTCATATGGTTATCCTGGATCACACATGGCGACTGCTAGCAGAAGTTTTCGAGGCGGAAGCTTCTCACAATCTCAAATGCAAGGTCAACTTCAACGGTCTACTGAAGGTAAAATCATTTTAAAAAAACACCTGTAAAGCATATAACTGAATATGTATTAATTATAAGAATTAAGAAAATGATGCTTCAAATCCTTTTACCCTTGGTTTGGAAAAATTTGCCTCCAAAAGTATATTCTTACAACATAGTATGTTTTCGATTGCGGTCTATTATTATAAATTTCCCAAACCTTTCAGTTGTTTGTAGCTGCGCTAAGAACATGCAAAATACGACTGTACATTTATCAAGCTTTCGTAAGTGATGCAGTTGTGAATACATATTTGATAGAAGGTGAGTTTTGTTTTCAGCAGTCTGATTAATTTTAATCTACCCTTTCTTCAGCAAGCAAGCAAATGTTGTACGGCACATTCGGAAACCTGATTGCGAGCTTAGAAGAATTTGAGCAAAGAGAGCTAAAAGAACAGGGAACTTCAAAACGATTAAGTAGATCAAATATTGCGATACCTGATCAAAGACATAAAAAGTTTGCAGATGTAAGTGTAAACAAACACTAGGTACCATTTTATTTCCCAGTAGTTTTGTAAAACATGATATTTGATTAACATACATGTAAATTAGTTAAAGTAATTTCAAGTATTATTCACATAATTCTACTTATGATGCACATTTATACCTAAACCGTCAATCAGGTTATGTACCTGAAGATAAAAAATAAATAAATGGGATAATGAGCTAAAAAAAATTAAATCGACTTTTTGTTTGAAAATATTGTATTGCAGTCATTCTATCTTCATTTTTTTTCTAGTATGAACATGTATCATAATTTTTACCAAAAGGTGAAGAGCAATGTAGAAACACAAATTCTTCTGTTCGAAGCACAATCAAAGGCATGTCCGCCTGAGGTTAGAGCAGCACTGTTAGAAGATCTAAAACGCAAAACAATAGCATGGGCAGCTGTACGTTCGGAAAAGGGCCTACCTGAAAATCAGGAGACAGATCGTTACATATCAAAGGTATATGAAATTCTTGCAAAGGGAAGAACAGATCATGACATACCATCAAGGTAAGATGCATTACACAATTGTACGTAAAATTTTAAAACAAATTATGAATAAGGAAAACTTCAAGCTTTTAGCAGAGAAATGATAGCCTCATTGCTTGGTCAACTGTTGACAAACAGTATCACAAAAAGAAAAAAATCAGGTGATATTTTATGTAAATCTGGTCAACCAGTAATCATGGTAATTATGTATTATCCAAGAGTAACAATTTGACAGCTAGTCAGCCAACTTGCATAAAAATGATAAAATTAGAAAGGTTTATTAATAAAATAATAAAAACTACTGAAATTGCAACAATGGAAAGATACTCCAGTCACATGTTGTTTATACGCTTAACTTAATTAGCACTTTTACTAATGTTCATGTATTAGGAATGAAATGTGAACAAACGAAAAAAAAAAGTTGCGCAGAAGTTTTCTGAATGCAAAGCTTTTTTGTTTTACACTGCTACACCTACATGCTTACAATAAAAAGTATCAGTCGAAGTAATACATGCATCAGATAATTTTGTTTCAACACATAACAAATTAATTGGCCATTATGGAATGTTAGACTCTACGTTCAGAGACCATCTGGTTTTTATATTCCGCGATGTATTCTCCAAATAAAGGTTAATATCATTGTTTCATTATCACAGCAAAGGTATTACTGAAGGTGTTATGCGAGATAGTTTCCAGGCTATTATATATGGTGATCATGACCGTCAAGAACTTGACCGGTCTTTTAAAAGGGACTCGCACAAAAAAGCCAGAGCGCCCGATACAAGGCATAGCGAGATGTATGATGAAGGTGAAAAAACCTATTAATATTTCATATTTTATAATAAATATTGACAAACTTGAAACTCTACAGAAAAAAACATCAAACAAAATAAAGCAGGATTTGCTTAAATTACACTCGGATTCAAAACAAATCTTTAAATTTTTATCATTTGCATCGGATATTTAGATAAAAGTACAAATAATTAAACGCTGTTTCAAAGTACTGAGATCAATAAGAACCCGAACCTTCTTGTCCTTTTAGAGGGAATTTCTCATTTTAGGATTTTTTAAAAGCGCCAATACACATGATAGAATGGCCGATATCACGAGAACCAAATAAAACACTTAAAAAGAATTTTTCCAGGAATCAGACACAACAAAGTTGAAACTCTTCTTAGTCAAAGCATCTTTAATATACCAAAGTTTGTATATTGCTTTTCAGCGGCAAAGAGAATCTCTCGAGCACGTGGAGGATCTGGCCTTGAATCCTATCTTCAAGATGACGTCCGAAGAATGAGGGATTATGGACCGAGTGACTTGAAGTAGAATGACGTCATCTTTATACTTAAGACTTCAAACGCTTGTTTAAACTTATTGTTTTCATTTGTTTACATACATACAGTTTTGTGGTTATTATAGAAAAAAAGTAACACTAACTAATAGAAATGAAGTGATATCCGTTTGTTTTATTTCATTGACGGTTCCATATCATCACCATACGTGACTGATATGATGCAATGCTGTATGTGATTTTTAATGTCTTGAACATATCATGAATTGTTGTTTTCTTAATGCATTGCTGTGCACTGTGTTGTAAATATGTTTTATTGTATATCTTTTTATTCTTGAATCAATTTGAAACAATCAGTTTTAAATTTTCTCAATAAATGTCGAAGTGGGCGTTCTTAATAATGTGTTAGAATGCAAGAGATCCTTCTGAAGCTGACGCTGAGTTTAAAACGATGTCTGCGCTTGTATTGCTAATGGTTTTTTCCTATTTATAGCTGGATCTTTCAATATTTGAATAATAAACATAAATCATTGTCCAGGAAAATATTGTTGTCATTTATTTAGTGATTTTTCAGAATCAGTGTTGCCATACTTTACATATATTATTTTCATATGTTTTAGTAGTGTAAGTTACACTGACTCATTTTAAGGTCAAATGGCGAGTAACTTACATTACTGGACTGGTAGAGAAGACTTCATGCGGCCCTCCGTGTATTATTCCATGGTCGAGCGGTCACATGACGTTCAGTAAAGTAGCTAGATAGCATCCTCAAATGGAATTGCGGGATTCGAACCCTTAAAGCCATCGACCTTAACTGCTCGGCCAAAATTAAATAGCTTTCAACATAATCACATAACATAACATAAGTTTATTAATAAATTTAACAGATGCACTAACATACACAAACAACACACACATTTGTATTGCTTACACAGGACATTAATAGGAACACATGAAAACAACGAAACCAAACAAAACATTCTGAAGTACAGCTTTTTCCAAGCCGCAGTGGAAATTCATCTGACATACTATGTCTTTTGATTGTAGACGGTGTTGTTAATTGTTCTGAAACAGCTTAAAAAGTTACACCAGCAAATAAATGTTGTTGAAAAATTTTGTAATAATACTGGTATGGAAGCTAATCTTGATATGATTGAACTTATTGTTTTTTGTAATTATGGTCACCTTAGAAGTTAGAAGGTATGAGAATTGGTTCTATGGAGACTATTATATAAATACATCTTCACTATATAGGTTCATGTGATTATTATCTACTCCAAAGTTTTCTTAGAATGAGGCACATGAATAAGTAGCTTGTCAAGCTCAAAGAGCACTTAATTCCGTACGCCATTTTCAGAAACCATTTGGTTTATTTTCCAATAAAGGATTGTTTCATGATTTCTCATACGTGTATCAAACCAATTTTATGTAACGGGTCACAGGTGTTGGAATATCAATATAGTTCCAAAATTGAATCTATACATACATATAGATCTATACATATCAATTTTGTAGAAAACTTTTATATGTACGACAAATTACAAATACATGCATGGTGTTAGGAGAATGTGGACGCCTTCCTATATGCATTACATATAACACACATTGTATACGTTACTGGTGTAAGTTAATACAAATGCAGATACACAGATACCCAGAACAATGCTACCTTATGTTATATGCTCTTGATAATGCTGGAAGGAATTGTTGGGCAACAAATGTTAAATTCCTTTTTTGCAGATATGGATTTGGATATCACAAACTATTGTTGATTATATAAATTGTTTATTAAAATGTTTAGAAACAGACTGATAGATTGTCTTACTCAGAACTGGCATGAAAATGTAAATAACTCACGTCGATAACATCAGTATCACCATTTTAAGAGTTTGCTTAATGAGATATGTCCATTGAAATGCCATTAAACATAAAATTGCATTGTCAATGTTTTGCAAAGCGATGACGCATCTACATTTGTAGCTAGGTTTATCTTACTGGCAGGTAGATTGAACAATATGAGCCAAAATATCTGCATACTTGCTGGTACCCTCACCAGCGGCAACTTTCAAGTAAGACACACAGATCCCTTGACATCTCGACCCCTTAGGATATTAAGATGACTTCTAGACCCCTTGACACCCAGATCCCTTTTTACAAGACTTTTCAGACCCCTAGTGGGTAAGACATTTCGACCCCTAAATCAATTTTTGCACTTTACATGTCCTGATATTCCAGAAATAATTTAAAGCAAATACTAGTATAAACTATTTTAATTATTTTCATAACAAAATATTGAAAACTTAAGGTAAAGCAAGAAAGCAACTTGTTTTTAATTCATTTAATGTTATGTTGCATAGCAAAACAATAGTTAAGCGATTTGTGCTTTTCGTGTTTATTTATATTTGTATCTACAATTTCTATAAGTTTTTAAAGATTTATTGTTTGAAACACATGTATGTTATATTGGCGATGAATAATTTTACATATTTACTTAATCAATATAAATATTGAATTGACTTGTCTGTAATTCGAAGATGCAATGATCACGTTTTATTGTATTTATGTAGCTATGAAAAATATGTATGGGATAGTAATCTGGAAAAGTCATTCAGATCAGAATTAATCGCTAAATTACCGGTATTTAACCAACTCCTGATTGATATTGATTTTGGTGACCGAGGTTGTGTAAATAATATTTTAAATAATTTTACCTGCTTACTAAGGGGCGTGGCTGACCCATTTTTTATGCTCCCCGAAGGATGAGCATATAGTCGCCGCTTTGTCTGTCCGTCCGTCCGCTTTTCTTGTCCGGTACCTAATTTTGAAACAACAAGAGGTATCAACATGAAACTTTGTAGGTAGATAGATCTCAATTGAGTAGGTGTGCAGTGCACAAAAACAGTAACTATGCCTTGCCTATTTTTGGAATTATTCATTATTATTGCCATTTGTTTATTTTACACTTTGAACTATGTCCGGGACATAACTCCTAAGATAAGAGTTATCAACATAAAACTTTGTAGGTAGATAGATCTCATTGGGTAGGTGTGGAGTGCATAAGAACCGTAACTCCTCCTTGCCTATTTTTTGAATTGTTGCCCTTTGTTTATGTATACACTTTGAACTTTGTCCGGGACATAACCATTGTGTACAACGGTCTAACTGATCTGTGTGAAACCACTCTTAGCATGATTGGAACGCACTAATTTAACATGGCGGCTTGAAAACAAAACCACATGGGGCCACTTGAAAAAAATAAACTTTTTCTATAACCTGTTGGCAAAATAGCCATTACATCATTTTTACTCAAAACATACATCAAGCACTCCTCCTGACAATCCTTTATTGATTTTACAAACCCAATTTCATAACACATGCGTGATAGTATTTCGTCCATTTTTAGTTTAAAACCGAAAGTGAGAGTAGTTTCGAATATTTGAATAAATAGTAACACAGTCGAACTATAAATTGCACTTGCAATATTAAAATCGGGAAAACAGTGATCCCTTGGAAGCAATGAACAAGTTTAATCACTTAAAAAGATATATTGTGTTTTATAAAATAAAATCGTCATCCCTACGCGCACTTCTTTATATGTGGGTCATTTTGACCATCATTTGGTGTAATGCGTCGTACGACACAGGTCGATATTTGAGAGACCGGTGTGTATACAATGGGGACATAACTCTAAAACTATAAGAGGTTTCAACATGAAACATTGTAGATAGATCTCATTGAGTAGGTGTGCAGTGCACTAGAACCGTAACGCTGCCTTGCCTATTTTTTTTAATTATTGCCCTTTGCTAATTTTAACACTTTGAACTTTGTCCGGGACATAACTCTAAAACTATAAGAGTTTTTAACATGAAACTTTGTAGGTAGAAGGTTAGATCTCATTGACAAGGTTAGCTGTGTACAAGAACCGTAACTCTGCCTTGTCTAATTTTCTGATAATTGCCCTATGTTTATTTTTAAACTTTTTTTTGTCTGGGACATAACTCTAAAAGTATAAGAGATATCAACATGAAACTTTGTAGGGAGATATATCTCATTGAGTAGAATTACCTTGAGTAAAGAACCATAATTCTGTTTTGCCTAATTTTGGAGTTATTGCCCTTTGCTCATTTTGACACTTTGAATTTTGTCTGGGACATTACTCTAAAATTATAAGAGATATCATCACGTGGTCATTTAGCAGTGCTAAAGAACTATTACTCTGTCTTGCCTTATTTTGAAGTTATTGCCCTTTGTTTATTTTTACTTTTTGACTTTTGTCCGTGACATAACTCTAAAACTATTAGAGATATCAACATGAAACTTTATAGGTAGATAGATCTCATTAAATAGAACTGCAATGTTAAAGAACCTAAACACAGCCTTGTCTAATTTTGGAGTTATTGCCATTTGTTCATTTTTACACTTTGAATTTTACCCGGGACATTACTCTTAAACTATAAGAGATATCATCACGAAACTTTATAGATAGATAGATCTCATTGAGTGTAGAAGTGCAGTGCTAAAAACATAACTCTACCTTACTTTATTTTGGAGTTTTTGTTCTTTGTTCATTTTTTATACTTTCCTGCGTCCAAAACCTTCTCGGGGAGCATCACCCGGTTCAACCGGTTCTTGTTTGAGAAGAATTATAAACAAAAATATAACGCTTCATTTAATGATAGTTTTACTTCAAATAATGCAGACTGGTTTGATGCTGAATGTAGATTGTTGAAAAACCGTTACTTGGATGCTTTTAATACTTTAACGATTGTAATGATGTAGAAAGTAGAGAATATTATTGTATATGTAAAAAAGAGTATAAAGATTTTACCCGTTGGAAAAAGAAAACATATATTAAGAGGAAATATTCTGTAATTGAAAAATTACGATTAAGTAAACCGAAGAAATGTTGGTCTCATTTAAGAAAAAATGAAACATCTGTCTTTGATGACATTTCTATGGAAGATTTCAAAACGTATTTTGAAAATTTACATATCTAACAATATTTTTGAATAAAAAAATAAGAGTGTAAAACGTTTTGTAATGAACATGACTTTAATTCAACTAATTGTAGGTTTGATGAATTAGATTTACCCATTTCATGTGAATTTTTTTTTTCTTGAGGGGGAGGGGGATTCGGATATTCTTAATTCAAAATAATTTAACAGTTGATATTTATAAGAAAAATATATAAAAAATATACAAATATAAAATAATGTACAAAGCAGTTCAATAAAATTATAAATATACCTGTATGCTAAAACTTTACCTTGAGATTTCCATTGATTTTTTCGGTAACAATCATTTCACGCTTCACCAATATAGATCATGACCTTGGAAAAAAATATGTGTGTATTTATTATTTTTTTTAAAAATATATTTTGAAGGAGTTTTGAAACGATAAGATTGTAATTTAATTACGCTGTTTCGAGTAAAAGTCGACAAGGTAAGCGTTATAAAAATATTTTATAATTTACGGAGGAAATAAAATAGATATCTGCAAGTGTAGATATTATA